TTTTTAATTTCTTCATTTTCCAAAAAGTTATGACAAAAAAATTACAACTTCAAAAAACTCGCCATGCCTCTTATGAAATACGTTGGACTGTCTACTTTGCAAAAAGGGGTAATTTGGGGGATATCTGTACTGTTCTGACATTTTTGGGCCTCAAAAAATTAGATGGGCTGTCAGTACTTCAGGATTGGTCAACTTTCAGATATATCCCATAGTTTGTGAACTCTGTAACTTTACTACAGACTACAGACTACATAATAAACACTGATTTGGGTTATTTTCACCAAAGAAATGTAGCAGAATACATCTTGGCCTAAATTTATGAAGAACAATTATTTATTTGCAAACATTTATAACAGAAACAAAGAAAAACGTGGGGTTTTTTTTCAGAATTTTCGGTCTTTTTTTGTTAATTTAGTAAAAAAAATAAAAACCCCAGCGGTGATTAAATACCACCAAAAGAAAGCTCTAGTTGTGTGAACACAATTATAAAATTTTAGTTTGGGTACAGTGTTGCATGACCGCGCAATTGTCATTCAAAGTGTGAGAGCTCTAAAACCTGAAAATTGGCCTGGGCAGGAAGGGGGTAAAAGTGCCCGGTATGGAAGTGTCTAAGAGTTGGGGGTTGGGGAATGTGACTATTTTTCATGATATACGAAATAAGGGTGTAACATGAAACGTGGTGTATAGGTGGGGTATACCTTTATATTTTTTTGAAACTAGAGTTTTTTCTTTAATCGTAGATGTCCAGGCTAAGTTTAGCAGCAAAAGTAAGCTTGACAATAACTGGCTCATTTTCCAGTTTGACATCGAGCCTGAGAACTAGGAACACACACAGTTGCCCATTCTTAATCTTTCTCTTTTTCCAGGTTAATTAACATTCTTACAGCAAGGCGCCTTTTTTATGTGGCCCTAAAAAGTTGTACTATGGTCATGAAGGAGTTACAAAAAAACACTTCTAAAATTTCACATGAATGCCTTAGATCTCTTGGATGTATATGGTTCCTTCACTGGGGATGAGGACTTGGATGTACTGGCTCTACTGCAAAATGTCCTTAGTGATTAATTTAGGATGTTGGCAGTTACAGCACTGGCTGCAAATACCATTTACATAATCTGGGAAGGCACTGAAAACAATAATGGAAATAGCACGATGGATTAAACCCAAAAGAGACTGCAATGCTGTCACAGCGGTAGTAAACTCCGCTTTTAAACTTGTACCTATAGGTAAGCCTATAAAAAAGCTTGCCTGTAGGTAAAGTGAATGTCTCCTAAACATTCGGTGTTTAGGAGATATTCACACTGAAAGCAGCCGATGACGTCACCGGCACATGTGAGCTGCACTCTGACAGCACAATGAGTATGCTGTCTATTCAGATTGCTGTGACTCTCATGTGCATGCGTGGAAGCGACGTCATCATGGCCCGGAAATTCAAATGGCTGGAATCCACGAACCCGGAAGGAAGACCAGGTGATGATGGAAGCCCTTACACAGCAAACTCTGTACTCCTGCGCTGGGGATGGACTCAGCAGAGACGAAGGTAACAATTCAGATATCCTGGAATATGCACTCCTTGCTGCCCTCAACGGACCGAGGTAGTCCAAAGTCACTGGCTACTCTCATGCTCTGAGGAAGAGGCTGAGACCTCGAAACACGTTAGCAAGTTGGAAGTCCAGGGTTCCATTGTTTTGGACTTAGTTGCTCATGGATTGGACACAGCTGTTTATTTTGATGTGCCTTTGTTTTATATGTTCATTTTGAGTGTGATACTTACTTTTTATCCTTTTAATAAACGCTTTTTACAATAATGCTCTAGGCCAGTGTGCCCTCTTTTTTTTCTTTTCTTTTTTTCCGAAGATGGAAGCCCTGTCAGTGGTGACAGCACGACCCCGACCCGGAGTGCTTAGTTTTTGTTAGGGATCCCTCCTCCGTGCAGCCGTGCAATGGCGCTGGATTCCCTCTGGCCACGGCGGTGTGAGTGCGCATGTGCAGGAGTGCATGCGCAGGAGCGCCTGAGTACAAGTGCGCGCATGCGCACTAGCATACACGTCACCGCAAGGCAGGCTATCTAAAAGTCCAATACAGTTTTATCAATGCCTTCTGGTCTATAACGTTCTGCACTCCATAACCTGATTCTGTTGCCTGTATCTGATCTAACCCTGACTAAGAAAGAACTCCGCCTGCACCGACCCCAGCTTATCCCTGACTATCCGCTTGCCTGCTCCCTTGTACTTGATTTGCTTGTTTGATCCTGATCCGGCTTGTCTGACTCTGCTGCACATACTTACCTGCTGCTGCACCCACGGTCCTGCACCTGGCCTATATCTTGGTTGCCTTCATACTTACCTGCTGCTGCACCCATGGTCCTGTACCTGGCCTGTATCCTGGTTGCCGCCATACTTACCTGCTGCTGCACCCACGGTCCTGTACCTGGCCTATATCCTGGTTGTCTCCATTCTTACCTGCTGCTGCACCCACGGTCCTGCACCTGGCCTATATCCTGGTTGCCACCATACTTACCTGCTGCTGCACCCACGGTCCTGTACCTGGCCTGTATCCTGGTTGCTGCCATACTTACCTGCTGCTGCAACCACGGTCCTGCACCTGGCCTGTATCCTGGTTACCACCATACCTGCCTGCTGCCGCATCCACTCTCCTGTGTCCGTTCCGGTCTGCATCCTGATTACCGACATACCTGCCTGCTACTGCACCCACGTTCCTGCATCCGCACCTGGCCTGCATCTGGATCTACTGGGTCTTCACCTGCCTTCCACAAGCTCCAGACCTACCCGGCACTCGTGCCACTCCTGGCTCTGCGCCCTCTGTTCCCACTATCAGGAGCTCCGAGCGGGAGTAGTAAGAAGATGCCTCCTCTCCACGTCAGGCTCCCCAACCAGGTACGTGATAGTTTTACAGTAAGTCTGCCATAATTTGCTAGTATGCGTTTTTTTATTCAAGGAGTTTATTACCGCTTTTACTGCAACCATGGGTTAAAGGAAAGAAAATCACTCCTATCCCCCATCAATACAGTCAGTGTTGATGGGGGAATCCATCCTGTGCAGCCATTGTGTTCTCCCGGCAAGGGAAGTCGTCTCCACCAGGAGAACACAGTGATTACTGCTTAGTAGCTATAATGGCCGCTGGCAATAATCACATGTAAATTCTGGCAGGCTGGTTGTACCCAAGTTAATTGATTGATCAACTTGGGTACATTCATCCTGCCCATACATGTTCATATATTGGTCGGTTCCTGCTGATATTCAAACCATCTATGGCTAGCTTAATAAAGAAGTATGGGTTTCTGTAAAAGTCCCCTGCCACTTCTAAGACTGACTGAGAACTGAGCGATCAAAGACCGCTGACTGCTAAGTTCTCAGTCTTCAGCCTGCAGAGAGCCGGTGACTGTCAGTCACCGACTCTCTGCTCATCCAGTGCTCACTGGAGCTCTGGGCTGTGGAGGGGGCAGAAATAACAGGCCCAGGCTCTCAGCCAACCAGCTGTCAGTCCAGGCATCCCATCAGGGTGTATACCAACCATATGGTCGGGATCTTTTAAGAGCCTGTCTCGACTTTAGCCTGCTGTCAGCTGAGAAAGGGACACAAGAGTGCGGAACAAACTGAGAGGAAAAGGCCAAAAAAGCTTTGGCAATACCTCTCCTTTAAGTATCTGTTATAATAGAAAGACTAAAGTTTAAAGTTCAGGCATGAAGTGTAAGCAAACTTTCCTTTGTCTCATTAGATTGGCTACATATTACCCTGATTATGTGAATGATTAGGTCAGAGCTACAGATAATCATCTACCCTGTGTAAGAAAGTGCTGGATGTTCAGTACTTGGCTGTTCTGACCCACAAGCATTACAAAGAATGATTTTTCCAAGCCCTACCCATGTCAGCTGAGGCACTTATTCATGCACAGCAACTCATACAGGTGAAAAGATATGAATAGGATAAACTGAGAGTCATTTTAAACACAAGCGTTTGGAAATCACAAGTAAAACATTTTAGAAAACATTTGAGCTTCACAAAATATTACTGCGGGTGATTACAGATCAGTTTTCGGGCCAGTTCAAACCAGAACTCGGTGCAGGAAACCCGCAATCCATGTGGGTTTTCCAGCACCAAGTTCAAAATGCACTGTACTTGCAATCGGCAGTGGGTGTCAGTGTTAACTTGTTGACACCCTAAACACAGGTCGGTATTGAAACGCATGCTACATTAGTACCATGCGATCCAATGCTGTGTGTTTTGTAAAGTAGGGCATGCACTACGTTTGGTACAGTCTTCTGCGATTTCAGCCCATTCAAATGAATGGCCTGAAATCACTGCATTCGGATCACATGTGAATCACACAGGAGCGTGCAGCACATTCCTGTGCGAGTCAGGTTGTGAACCAGTCCATAATAATTCAGGCTATAACTTTTAGGCTAGGTCACAAAAGAGCTATTTATACCAGTGATTCTTTAAATGAATAAATTCCAGTCAAATACCTAAACCTTGACAGCATTTTTTAGGGGAGGGTATCCTCATCTGTCAGAATTGCAGACTTGAAGACTTTTCACGTTACTATAGATGGACTGAGCTGTTGGGCTTTCTGATCTGTTGTTCCTCCTGACAAAAGGTAAGAACAACAATTCTCCAATCTGACTCCTGCGTGTGTAGAATGTGGGCTAAAGGCTGTTTCCGAGACTTAACATATATATGAAATTAGAGCAATCCCATCATATACAGACAATTTGAAAAGTATGTACACCCCATGGATATTGTTGACTTTTTAAACAAATTTGAGCTAGCAAACGTCATATCTTCATTTATCTTCCTTTATCTACAGATAAAGGTGATATACATTAACAAAAGACACTTAGGGATTTATGCATAAAACAATGTGCTGAACGAATGTGACATACACTATGTTGCCAAAATTTTTGGGACACCCTCCAAATCATTGGATTCAGGTGTTCCAATCACCTCCATGGCCCCAGGTGTATAAAATCAAGCACCTAAGCATGCAGACTGCTTCTACAAACATTTGTGAAAGAATGGGTCGCTCTCAGGAGCTCAGTGAATTCAAGCGTGGTACCAGAATAGGTTGTCACATGTGCAATAAGTCCATCTGTGAAATTTCCTTGCTACTAAATATTCCACAGTCAACTGTTATTGGTATTATAACAAAGTGGAAGCAACTGGGAACTACAGCAACTCAGCCACGAAGTGGTAGGCCACGTAAAATAACATGCTGAAGACTGCAGAAGTTGCCAACTGTGTGCAGAGTCAATAGCTAAAGACCTCCAAACTTCATGTGACCTTCAGATTAACACAACAGTGCGTAGAGAGCTGGAATGGGTTTCCATGGCTGAGCAGCTGCATCCAAGCCTTACATCACCAAGTGCAATGCAAAGCGTTAGATGCAATGGTGTAAAGCACACCGCCACTGGACTCTAGAGCAGTGGATATGTTCTCTGGAGTGACGAATCACGCTTCTCTGTCTGGCAATCCGATGGATGTGTCTGGGTTTGGCGGTTGCCAGGAGAACAGTACTTGTGCATTGTGTGAAGTGTAAAGTTTGGTGGAGGGGGGATTATGGTGTGGGGTTGTTTTTCAGGGGTTGGACTTGGCCCCTTAGTTCCAGTGAAGGAAACTCTTAAGGCATCAGAATACCGAGACATTTTGGACAATTTCATGCTCCCAACTTTGTAGGAACAGTTTGGGGATGGCCCCTTCCTGTTCCAACATGACTGCGCACCAGTGCACAATGCAAGGTCCATAAAGACATAGATGAGTGAGTTTGGGGTGGAGGAAGTTGACTGGCCTGCACAGAGTCCTGACCTCAACCCGATAGAACACCTTTGGGATGAATTAGAGCAGAGACTGCAAGCCACGCCTTCTTGTCTGACATCAGTGCCTGACCTCACAAATGTGCTTCTGGAAGAATAGTCAAACATTCACATAGATACACTCCTAAACTTTGTGGAAAGCCTTCCCAGAAGAGTTGAAGCTGTTATAGCTGCAAAGGGTGGGCCAACTCAATATTGAACCCTATAGACTAAGACTGGGATGCCATTAAAGTTCATATGCGTGTAAAGACAGGCGTCCCAATACTTTTGGCAATATAGTGTATGTCCACACAACTCCAACAAAACTTGCCATATTCTCTGTTATATACCTATCTCAGATGATTGTAAAAGCCATCTAGTGGCCAAAACTCCTTTTTTCTTGTTTCTGATACAGAAACAAATCGTGCATTATAGCCATTAGATGGTGCTTATAATTATATGAGTTACATAACACAGAATACGGCAAGTTTCGTTGTAGCTGTATAAATGTGTGTTTCATTTATTCAGCAAACTTTTCATATATAGACCCTTAGGCTTCATGCACACTAGCAGGTTTTTTTTAAGCTCAAAAAATGCTGGAAACGCTGTATTAAAAATGCTGATAATAGTGTTTTAGTAGCATTCAGAAGCGTTTAGGAGGATTAGCGTTTTTACAGTACATTTAGAGGAAAAAAAAAGCTGTTAGGAGCTTTTTAGTAGCACTTTGCAACGTTTAGGAGCGTTTTTTGTTTTTTTTTCTGCTAGAAAAACGCTTCAAAAAACTCTACAAGGAGGCGCATGTGCAGCGATCCAAGATAGTGGACATCTGATGGGTGAGCTCCGCCAACCCTCAGCCTTCACAGCGCTCCCGCTCCTCCTCTACAGCACCCACAGACCTGGGAGTACTCTCTCCCAACTCAGGATGTCGTCAAGCACCCCCCATGGGCAAAATCGGGCGTTGGAAGCTGCCCACACCGCCTCCTCTGGACCCGCAGCCTTCCATGTTGGATTGCTTCTTTACTAGGCGTGCATCCCCGGCCTCGAGTAGTTGCGGCAGTCCGATTGAGTGATCTGGAGGGTCCGCTGAAATGGAGGGGACAGACACAGATGCCCCTGCTGCTCTACTTCCCACCCCGGTGGTCCCCTCTCTGACGGTGGATATTCTGGAGGACAATCTGCAAGTATTTTCACACAATATCACCTGCACTATCTCTGCTGAGATTGGGAAGCTGGCTCAGGAGCTTAGGGGGGAGATTACCCAACTGGGAGACCGCACAGACCACCTTGAGTCAAAGTTTTGATGCAATATGTCCATGTCCTGGAAGAGGATAATGTGAATCTGAAAGAGTCCTTGTCTCAATTACAGCTCCAGCAGAAAGACCTGGAAAACAGGGAGTACTGCCAGAATATTCGTGTTCATGGCATCTCTGAAACGGTTCCTGACTCCCAACTTCAGCGTTACCTGCTGTCTCTGTTTACCACTCTGGCCCCCAAAGTCCTAGATGTTGATTAGCGCATGGACCGGGGCCCATAGGCCATTAGGCCTGAAGCCTTCTGAGGGCACTAGGCCCAGAGATGTTATCATTCCTTTTCACTACTTTGACAGCAAAGAAGCCTTGCTCTCTTCCACCCGCAACAAGTCCTCCCTTGAAGTTAAAGGAGGCAGGCTTAAAATTTTCAGTGATTTATCCCCCATCACCTTGGCAAAAAGACGTGTCTTGAAGCTGGTCACCACCCATCTCCAGCAGCACCGCATCGCTTACTGGTGGGGATTTCCTTTCAAGCTAGTTGCCTCCAAAGATAATGCCCAAGTCTTACTTCGTGACCGTCATGAAGCAGACTCCTTCTTTAAACAGTTGGTACTCCCTCCCTTGCCGGAAGAGGCCTTTCTGCAACCTCCTACTCCGTCCAGGTCTTCTGCTACTCCACGCAAGATCTGGACACCTGCTAAACCTGGGAAGAAGAGGTTTTCTCGCACTCCTCAACATCCCGACTTCCTGGTTTGGTGTGCCCCACCACCTAACTCTTTTCATGTATCAGGTATTCCCGCCCTGTTAATTGAGCCCCTATACTTTCATGTGTGCCTTAGCCGTTTTCTTAATTGTTGTGTCCTCATTACAGCTATTATGTGGATTACTGAGGTAGGCACCTGCTCTTTCTGGTCAGCTGCCGTGTTGCCCTCTTGTACGTCAGGCATTCAGCTCTGACGACTCGGGATATTTCCAATATCCAGGGTACATATCTCTGATGATATCTTCGTCACTTTTTCTCCTCCAAAGCCCCATGTCTAACCCTTGAGAAGCCTACTCTCTTTGAACGCATCTGCATTCAGGGTCCATACCAACGGGGCATAATTTCCTCTACTTATAAGCTGCTTCAAGAAGCCTGTCCCCTTTCTATTGATACACACCTTTATATGCGCAAATGGCCCTGAATCCTCCAACGTAATATTTCTTTAGATCAATGGAGCAGGATTTGGGAGGCTGCCTCCAGATCTTCTATTTGTGTAGTATATAAAGAAAACACTTATAAAATACTGATGTTTTGGTATAAGACCCCTGAGGTTCTTCATGCCCACAATCCGAGGGTTTCTCCTGTCTGCTGGTGATGTGGCGAGGAAACTGGCACCCTCTTCCATATTTTCTGGACTTGCCAACACATTGCACCCTTCTGGAGAGAGGTCCTTAACCTTTTGCAGCTACTTTTACAGGCTCCTATTCCATTTGAACCCATCCACTTTTTTCTGGGCCTACCTATTCCAGGCCTCTCCAAATTTGCCAGTAAACTTTCCTCCCATGTTTTAGCAGCGGCCAGGAGAACCATTCCTGTGCATTGGCTCTCTACTACACCTCCTACACGTTCGGAATTGGTGAAGGTTATAGTAGAGATCAGAAGAATGAAATACCTCACTGCCTTCCATGCCAACTCTGTCACCATCTTTGAAGCAATTTGGGAACCTTGGGATCTTTCCGTTTCCGATTTGTCTACTCAATTGTCTGAAAATGATGGCTAATTCACTGTTATGCACTGACATCGTATCTACCTGTATGCATTTCATCGATGAGCCTGTTTCTTTGTTCTTTCATTACCTTATGATTGTTCTTTCACAATTCTATGCAACTCTGTTTGTTGTACACTCTTTAAAAATTAATAAAAAGTAAATTATATAAAATAAAACGCTAGTGTTCATGGAGCCCAAAAGCCTAACTCCAGGTTTCATTTCACTTTAAATAGTTTGGGCCAAGCTGGTTTCAGCAGGGGGATGGGCACTTCTCACCCCATTGCTGAAACTGCTCAGCCATTCACAGGAAGTTTTGTATTTTATGAATGAATACAAAATTTCCTCTGATTTGCTGAGGTGAAGCTTGTGACATCATCTGCCCACCTCTGCCCAGTCAACCATTTCTATGGGGTGTACTTACTTTTTCACATGACTGTGTATGTATATGTGTATGTATGTACACCTATACAATATGTTCTAGTTCAGGCATGTTTTTTTTTTTTGTTTGTTTGGTTGTTGTCCTGTACACAATTTTTTGTAGTTGTATTAAGTGATCAGCATGTGGCAGTGTTTCTATGTGGTTCATGTCATTACACATGATTTTGTAGGCACAGATGGCTCCCCAGCTGTTGTGGATTTAGCAGTATCAGTGGTGGCTGACATAAGGTATCTGATCCTTTGGAAATTAAAAGGAAAAAACTTAGATGTCTGTCATTCACAATCACTATTGTGATTACAGCCTAGAAGGCAGCATCAGTAATACCAGCTTACGTCTATACATATCTACTATACCAGGCCTTAAAATTTCAAGTCCTGAGCTACTAGCCAGGCCTTAGAGTTTCTCGCCACCAACAAAACACACACAAACAGAGACACCTATACACACACACACAGAGACACATGTACACACACGCACAGAGACACATGTACACACACGCACAGAGACACATGTACACACACGCACAGAGACACATGTACACACACGCACAGAGACACATGTACACACACGCACAGAGACACATGTACACACACACAGGCATGTACAGACACTCATACACACAGATACATGTGCATACACAGAAATACACACGCACAGACACATGTACATACATACACAGACACATCTACACACAGACACGTGTATGTACATACACACACAGACACATGTAGACACACACAGACACATGTACACACACACAGACACATGTGCACACAAGCAGACACATGTACAGATACACACATGTACAATTGTACATGCATACACACAAACACATATACATGTACACCCACCACCCCCATAAAAGTTGCAGTACTTCATTGATCACTCACAGATCCGGGTACTGCACCCTAGGGGGAGGCAGAGAGCACAGCACACACTCCTTGCTTTGCTTTCACTGCGCTCAGCTATTAAGCAGTCTGACAGCTCCCAGTGCCAATGACAGATCCAGCCTGAGCTCCGAGCCTGCTCAGCAAGACGGCCCTGGGGGACACACTCACCCCCACCATAATTTCCACTTGCCATTGGCAAGCAGGCGAGTGGAAATTTCAAGCCCTGTACTATACTATACTATAC